AAAAAAAAAAAAAAAAAAAAAAAAAGATCTTAGGACTCTAGGATACAAGGAATAAAAGGCAAGATGGTCCCTGGCCCCTGGGCAGTACTAGCCCAAGAGACACACATCCAAATATCCAAATAAACTGCCATATCTACCTATTTGTCAGGTCACTGGGCTGTGCTGGGTCCATCCTGCGCATCAAGGGGCTCATCCTCCCTGGCAAGGCCCCAGAACAGTCACATTCTCCCATGGACATTGGTGGGCAGTCAGAGCCATTAAGAAAAACAACCACTCCCTGCCCGGCCAGCTGCCCACCAGCTGTCCATGCCTCCCGCAAGAAGTAACATCATGCAACTGGGAGCCCAGCCCCTCATTCCTGACAGATCAGAGACCCAGCTGAGCCCAGGCCCTCCCCGTCCTGTTTCCCAAGTTTGGAAGCAATGGCAGCATCCAGAAAGAAAGGAGCTGCCAGTGAGCTACTGCTTCCTCCTAAACCTGGATCCTGAAATGACCAAGTTAGAGACTGAGACTGAAAGGGGTCTCTAGTGAGACTTGAAAGGGGTCTGAGCCTCTGTGGCCCCAGCCTTGGGTGCCCTGCTTCCTGATGGCACTCCAGGGCCTTAGTGGGACTGTGGGGCCGAGAGTCAATGCTCCCCATTTCCTCCATGTAGGCTATTGACAGGCGGGTATCTGGGAAGAGCTTGTCCTGAAAAAAGGGATGTTACCTAGTCCTTGTCAACTAGCTAGGCCTCCACCGTCTAAGCACTACCCAGGCCAAGCGCCTGCAACCAGAGCACTGGAATGCGCTCCGAGACCTGCTGGAAATAAGATACACAGTGAGTACAGATGTCTGAAGAGCCACAGCAATGGGGGGATTTCCAGGAGGGAGGAGTAGTGGGAAGAGGTCTTGATGTATGAAGTCGCTGGCGGTGTACAAAATGCTTCCATGTCCCCAAACTTAAAAGGGTTAGAGCAGGTGGGAGGAGAACAAATGCTAGACAAGAGATTCAGCCTTAAGAGACAGCCTTGGAGAGCTGGGGAAGGCAGAACGCTAGGGGCCTCATGAGCACTGCCTGGCATGTGAAGGTTACAGTGCAGAGAAGCCCGCCAACTCTCTGCCTTTTCCCTGATGAAGTTCACCTGCAGCAGGGCAGCAGCAGCATCCATCGCAAGAACAACTTCCTCTCAGTGACAGGTGTGACATTCCAGAACTCAGTGGCCAGCTGAACACAGATCCTCTTGGGAGGGACGGGACCTGGGAGTCTGACACCAGCCTGCCTTTCAATCTGGTTTAAAGATTTGCTGGGCACAGTGATGCATGCTTATAATCCCAGCACTTGGGGAGCTGAGGCAGGAGGATTGCCACATTTGAGGCCAACTCGGGCTACATAGTTCAAGGTCAGCCTGAACTACATAGCAAGACTCTGTCTCAAAAATTAATTAAGTATTAATTTTAAAAATAAAGATTTCCCACCACAAGACTTATGGCCACCAGAGGGCATCACCACTCCATTGTGTGGTTTTCCATCCCCTCACTGGAGAAAGTGGGGAAACAGGAGGGAGTAGGCATCAGTTTCTGATTTCTCTGGGAGCTGCCAGCAGCTGAAGTAACAGCCTTGGGGAGGAGTCCTGGGTTCTAGTGCCCTGTCTGCCCCAGGTCTTCCCCCACTACCTGTTAAGTGCAAGCTTGGACCACACAGTATCCTGTCTGGTCCATACAGGAATTTCAAGATTTAGAAATCACAAAAAGGGCTGGACAGAACTGCATTTTCTGGGCCCACCCTTGCTCTGGGTTCTCTAGGGCTGACTTTCTCTTTTATTTATTTTTTGCTCCAATACTTTAGGGCTTTGTATACATCAGGCAAAGGCTCTACCACTGAGCCACTATACCTCAGTCCTTTTCCTATCTTTTTTTTTTTTTTTTGAGACAGGGTCTCACTCTGTAGTTTAGACTGAACTGGAACTCACTATGTAGCCCAGGCTGGTCCCAAACTCACAGCGATCCTCCTGCTTCAGCCTCCCGAGTGCTGGGATTGCAGGTATGTGCCACCACGCCTGGCTTGGTCCTTTTCTTATCTTGAGACAAGGGTTCACTAAATTGCCCTGCCTGGACTCAAACTTGTCATTCTCCTGCCTCAAGCTCCTGAGTAGCTGGGATTATGGGCATGCATCACTGCATCCAGGGACTTTCTTCCCGGCAGGAGAAGAAAACTGAGATCTGAACATCAGTTCTCACTTGGAGGCAGGGAGGAAATCCACCTGCATAAGCAGAGCGGGTCTCCACCTTCATGTCAGTCTGAAGGAGGACTGTTACAACCCGGCTGTTAGACACACGTGCTGTACGGTGCCTGTGGCATCCACTTTTCCAGGTTTCAGGCAAGGAGGCATTCATTAAGTCCACCTCTTGGATAGAGAGTAGCACCTTCACAGAAGAGGCTGTGCATGGCACATGGGGCCGTTCTGAGGGTCCCTTTAGGGATAAACTCTAGAATGAATACAACAGAAACCATTGCACCTCCTGCTTCTCCACCTCCCCCGACACAGATGCTGTCTGTCAGGAGCAGGCAACAGACGGTCCAGGGGTCCATCTGTGCTAATGCTCACAATATAGTCCCATGTTTCCCCACTGACACCCCCTCGGCCTCTCGGTGGCCACTTGGTGGCCCAAGGGGGAAGGCAGGAGGAGTGGGAGGAAGGCACTAAGGGAGCTACCCCACTGAAAGCCACTTGGTGGCCCAAGGGGGAAGGCAGGAGGAGTGGGAGGAAGGCACTAAGGGAGCTACCCCTGCCCCCACTCAACCAGCCTCCTGCCATCTGGGCTTGTACAACGTGGAGGGTTGGAGGAGCACCCCTCCCACCCATGCCTCCTGTAGAGCTGGGGCCCCCAGAGCCTGAGAGTGGCAAGAGACAGACACACAGACCAGAGGCAAGATCAGGAAGCAAGGAGACTGAGACAGCCTTTCCTGACCTCCCCATATAGGATAGCCCCTGCCCCTCTGCCTCTGCCCTCTTCATGGCAGGCATCTGACGCAGCACGTGTACAGTATGCCACTGCCTACCAGATTAAGAGCCTAGCAGACCCCAGTGCCCAGCCACTCCCGGCACAAAACAGGATTTAAAGGAGGGATGAATGAAGAACTGTGGAAGACAGCCTCACAGAGTGGGAGTGGGGAATCAGATTGCAGCTCTGGATCCAGGCTGCTTGGGTTTGAGTCTCAGCTCTGCCACTGAGAAACGTAGGCCAAACTGCTTACCCTCTGGGCCTCATTTGCAATGGTACGTATTCCATAGTGTTGTTAAAAGGACGTGTATGTAAAGGCAAACCACACAGCACTTGGCAAATGCTCAGTAACCGTTAGCTGTAAAGCATAACATCTGAGAGCACTGGAGGAGGGAACCAACAGGGACAGTGTGGCCCTGGCCTTTGTGGAGTGCACCGTGTTGGATGTGGAGTCCCCAGCTTGCGCTGACAGCCTGTGGTGGCTAGCTGCTCTTTAGACATCACACGTGGCCTTCCACTTCCTCCTCTCACTTCTTATTTGGGTACCACTGACGACAGAGACTTCGCTGGCCCATCCTTGCCTCTTCTAGGCCTGGCAGCCATGGTAACAAAGGCTGGGGGATGGTCCCTAAGACAGGGTCAGAGAACGGCTGAGCACCCACACCACCTTGGGCCCAACCCCAATCCTGTGAGTCAAGAGTCAGCGCCACAGTAAGGATGCGCCTGCAGTGTCCGGAGCTGAGGACAGGTTTCTCCTGCAGGGACCACTCCAGACCTGCAAGGGGATGAGCCAGAATTAAGCCCCTGCTTTCAGGGTTTCGCCTCTTCCCTTTGCGTAGACGCAGGAAGGAGAGGCAGCCTCTTTCAGCTCTCTGGGATAGCAGTGTAAAGGGGAAATCCCCGTTCCTCTCAAGTCCCTGGGGGCTTCTGCGCTGTCAGTTCAGAGGCATCAGCTCCCTCCTTCCGGACTGCAGCCCCACTCCCACCCCACCCCCTCAAAACCCGGCGCCCTCACTCCCCACTCCCGCCTCAATAAGTCTCTTGCAGACCTCACCCCCCGCATCTTCTAGAATCTTACCCCCAGGACCCCAAACTTCCTTATATGACCCCCTTACTCTTCCTCCTCTCCATGAATCACTAAATCTATCCACTCCCAAATTTCAAATCTCACCCCAGGAAAGCTCCTTCGAGACACCCTCCAGGAATCACATACAATCGTGCTTCCGCCGGGATGGCATCTCTCCTCCTGCTCCCCTCGGTGCCTGGGTTTCTCGCGCTTAGCCTGCAGGTCCTCAAGTTTCCCCAATCTGACCGGCCGTCGAATGCGGCGCCCTGGGCTCCCGCGACCAAACTCACCCCGGGGCGGAGCAGGCAGCGTTGTGGGCGGGTCCACAGGAGGCCTCGCCCCTCGAGCTCTGGAGCCTATAAAGGGAAGCGACCCCGCGTCCAGCCGGGCTGGTAGCAGCTACTCGGCGCCAGCGTTACCAGCTGGGTAGATCCCCGCTTCCTAGGGGTATCCCGGGCCGTAGCCATGACCCTCCGCCGACTCAGGAAGCTGCAGCAGAAAGAGGAGGTGGCCGCCGCCCGGGCTCCGGACTCGGAAGCTGCTCCAGCCCCGACCCCCTCGGGTCCCCC